TGGCCTCTACTATTCCTTCAGTTTGACTATTTTCACTGTATTATCTCAAGACAGTGTGTAACAATAATTCACAAAAAGGCTGAAATGCTTCTCATGAAACATACTGAATTGATTAAGAAAAGATTTTATGATTGATTGACTATTTTTGGATATCAAATATGCAACCATCCAAGGCTAAATAAAGGCTAAACAGCATATGCACCTTATTGGTTCTGAGTCTAGCACAAATCCTCTCTTCCCTACAAACTTAAAGGTGACCTATCATGCAAAATGCACTTTTGTACGTCTTTTATACATGAACATGTGTCCCAGGTGTTCCAGGGAACTCACCAAGTGTCAGAAAACACAACCCTCTCTATTTTCCTCCATACCCAAATCTCTTAANGTATAATTTTGCACGGACGCCAGGACCGGTAAAAATTGCAACATTCTGGATTTTGATAGGTGGCGCTATTGAGCACGTTGGAATATTTTAACCCATTGACTCCAGAATGTTGCAATTTTTACCGGTCCTGGCGTCCGTGCAAAATTATACAACTTTGTCAGCATCCTAAAGGCCTCAAAAACAGGAAAGATGGTGAATAAAAATAATAATAATAATTCCACCAATAACAATAGGTTTCCTCGCACTCCGTGCTAGGACGCCGTTGGGTCCTAGCGCTCCGTGCTCGGGGCCTAATAAGCTACATTTATCTGTTATTGGCTATGGTAGGTTATTGGTTATGTTCAGGGGTGCACATAAGTGGTACGCAGGTACGCATGCGCGGCAACAATCTGAAATGCGTACCGTCACTTGTGTCACAAAGCGCATTTGCGTACCGATGTATATGTGAAGCTTTTCCATAAGGCGGTTAGATCACCGGACGACGGAGTCGGTTTCCGTGTGCAAAGACAGGGCTGCTGTTAACGTCGGCCTGTACAGCAGCACTGCGCTAAAACAGCTGATCACAACGTTCACACGNGCACCGCGGGGCCTGTTGTCATTAGAATCTGGTGCTAGCTGCGCTAACGGATATAAGAAGTAGATGTTTCTACAACCAGGGTGGAGGAGAGCTCTCCTGTCAGACTGAGAGGCTCAGTGAGGTAAAGGACTCTGAGTGTTTATAGTTCATTTTAGTTTTTAAGTTGTCTCAGTGAGTCTCTAACGTTTTGACCACAAATTATGTAAACACATATTTCCAAGGCACTCCTTTATAATTATTAGGATAAATAAAAACAGGTTTGAAATCATTCCAATGTATACTATAGGACAGTCAAAAATATAGTTTAAAGTTGGAGAGATACAAAAATGTGCATAAATAAATAAATTTTAACTAGGTAAAATAAGATATAAATGAACCACAAAAATAAAATGTTACATTTATTTGTTATTGGCTATGGTAGGTTATTGGTTATGTTCACATACTTATTTGATTATTAAAATGTAAACCGATCTTTTTCATATGTGTTTTAGAGTTGTACCCCCTAGATCTAGTCTTTAGTAATTGTGTGCTCAAAGTGCACCAGATTGAATTATTTTACTTTAAAATGTTTTTTAAAAAGCAGCCAAGAATAAGCATGATTACACCAATAGGCTGAAACTCCGAGGCCTGGTCAAATTGGCAAAAACTAGAACACGGCTCACACTCTTGCCTCGTACTTTCTCCACTCGTTGAAACGGACAAAATGTAAACACACGTGGTTCTCTAGTCTCTATCACTTTGGGTTTAATGCAAAAGACAAAACATACAAATGAACAAAGACCCTGAACCTTTACCATGGTCTCTACCTCTTCCTCTCATGTTGGATTGAGGGCAGACTGGACTGAACAGTGACTCAAGGTACAAGTGGTATTACAAGACAGGAATAGCTGCCTTGCATCCTTTTTTTGTAAATATCTCTGAAAAACAATACATAGAGATATTGGACATGATATTAAACAGTTAATTCACATTCGCACTACAGCGTGTATAGGAACAGACTCATAGCCACAAGCATGGCTGTTTCATTCCTTCATCGTTGTTTGTATTCAAAAAGCTTAAATCGACACACAAGTGTAGGCTACTTCTCTCTCTGCTCACTCTTTCCACCACTAAGCCAACATAGTTTCCCAGAATACACACACAGTTATAAACAAAGGTTTTAACACACACCCAGGTAGTCCATCAAGTCGGTTCCCTAAACCCAGGGACCATCAGGGGAACAGAAGACACAAGCAGAGCCCTAAAACTACAAGGGCTCAGGGCCAAAAAGCAACTTAAATCAATTCCATTTGATTAGGTGCACTACATCTTATAATTCCATTAACGCAGGGATGGATTTTCAATGAATGTAACTGCGGGCAAATGGTTGGGCATAATTTTGTGAAATGAAATACGGCACAGGTTCAGAGTTAGGGTGTGAATTTCTTCCTTTTCTCCTTTATCTCCTCCCCATTTTCTCATTGGGACTTTGGCTCATCCTAGAGCTGTCTTGATTGTCCTCTTTTTGCAAAGCTTCTTTTCCCCCCCACATTATCTTAAAATGCTTTCAGAATGCTTTGTCTAACTTATTTCACACTTTAATATATCAGCTTTGGCTCAAAAGAGCCAAAGTCCCCTGATTTAGTCCCAACTAAATGCTGCATATAAGCCATAAGTTGCACATCAGGGAGGTTAAGCATTTAAAGGGGACCTATTATGCAAAATGCACTTTTGTATGTCTTTTATACATAAATATGTGTCCCCGGTGTGTCAGGGAATTCACGCAGCGTGAGGTAATAAAACCCTCTCTCTTTTCCCCCTTACCCAAATCTCTAAAAACGGGGGCTAGGCCTACAATGGAACTGATCCAGATTTGTGTACGATATTATATATATATATATATATATATAATATCGGCAATGCGGACCCACTGCACTATCAGAAAGTTGCTATCAGAAACAATGCCCGACTGTTTTGGACGTAACATGGTCTTTGTTTACATTAGCAAGCATGCTAACACTCAGAGCTAACGCAGTACTGGAGAGAGCACTTATGTAGAACAGCAGAAAGAAGAAAAACTCACCTTGAGGTAAACCCGCAAGAGAAAAATATTTGAGCTCCATACTGTTTGAGAAATAATCCTTGATGTGGTTTGGAACATGATATGACGTTTAATCACGGCAGCATTGAGCTGAATCTGCCGTGTAATTCTGAGCAGGCATTAGCTCCACCTCCTTTTTTCTTTTTTAAAGCGAAGGACCCCGAATCAGGAGTTCTCTAATGGCACATTTCCACTGCAGCGCGTAGCACGGTTTAAGCGTGCCGTGCCAAACCTGGCCCGTTGTTTGTTGCGTTTCCACTAGGGGTAGTTCCGGCTAACGGGTATTGTTTCACAGTTTTTCTGGCCCTTCAAAAGACGGCAGGCGAAAAAACGTTGTGTTTTCTAAATGGAGTTCGGCTAAGGCTAACGGACTAGGCTATATGCTCCGACCGTCCACTCTCACAACAACGGCCTATGCAGATATAAATAAACCAGTGACTGTATTCACCATGACACAGACAGTCTGTGGTTTGTACTTGTTTAACTTTTGTCTAGTTTCTGAACAGATATGAGGAACTGTGAGCTCTGAGTGCTAACAGCTAACGGCTGATGTTGGTTTTGTGGTTCGCATTGAAGATGACGATCACGGCTCCGCCTACACTGCGTTACTATAGTTACTGCCCCAGCTACTAAACTGTAATGGAAACGCAGCATAAAGTGAGCCTGGCCTACCAAGGCCTAACTATACCGTACGAGGCCGTGAGAGGCCCTGCAGTGGAAATGCGCCATAACAGGGCAAAAACAGGGGGATGTCTAAAGTGCATGATCTGTTTGGTATTTTGAGCAAAACACATCATATAGCCTACATGTTTTTTATATACATTATTTTTATATATCTGAGACCCATAATATATGTCTAAAAATTGCATGATAGGAGACCTTTAATAAGTTACCTTTTTTTATACTATGTTCTGACACACTAGCCTCCTACAACACTGTGATTTGTCAATGGGAACATTTTAACAGCCCAACCACTTTGCTATGGAGTTTTTGAAGCAGCCTGTGGCGACGTGTCTCTGTGTGATCCTGGCCTTACAGCTTCAGACCTAAAGCCAGGATTCTGACAGTCAATGAATGTGATGTCCCCTCTGGAGGCAAGTGGCTAGCCCTCAGAGAACATTCAAGCGTGATTGGAGCTATGGTGTGATTTTAAAGACCCTGAGTAAAATATCTGTCAGGAAGCCAGTAAAGACAGCTAGATTAACTGCATGACTTCCGCAATTTTATGCCTCACTAATCAACCTTTACTGTACATTCTAGGCTAAGTAAAGGCTAGGGATATAGGGACCGTTACATTTCCTGCATGGCATCGGCAATCTAACTTAGCCTTAGGCCTGTTGCTTCACGACTCAGTGTGTCCTCTAACAACAAATCAAATTTCTTGGCATCACATATCTATACACATGTTGGTGTAAACGATAAATAGATAGATAGATAGATAGATAGATAGATAAAGTAGGTCCAATAACCTTTGTGCCATGTGCAGAACGTTTCTACATCTCAAAATGTATGCGGCTTATATTTAATGCCTTTCTCAGCTGAACCCACACTTCTCTGGTTTTTTAATCAAGAGCAATTGTTTGCATACATTCTTAGTTTTCCCTTTTTTGAGATCACTGAGCTCAGTCAACTCAAGAGTAAACTGGTCCTTAAGCTGCTGCAGAGTTGCTGTCG